TATAATACAGACAAAGATGCTGATGAGTACAAAAGATTTACAGCATTTGCATTGCTGTAAATTGCTTTTTTTCCCCTTCCTAAAAGTTTATACTTTTTAATTAATTTTCAAAGTTGTCACAAAGTACAGGTTGTCAAAATAATTCTTAAAAAGCCTTTTTACCACATAACTGTAATAAGCAAATCAGCAAGTTTAGTTATATTAACTGAAACTGGAACAATACCTGTGAGAGTGAAGCTTAAGATCTGTATCAAAGTCTGCAAGGACCCAGATTTAATGTCCTACATAATTATACGAAGGTTTCACTGTAAGATCTGAGACTATAGCTGTTCAGGTGTTGGTATCTAATTTAGGTTAGCTACTGTGTTCTATAGTTTGTTTTTTCTTTTTTTAATACAGTGTGCTTTAATATGCCTTAACTCTGATTAGTTTTCATCATTATCAACTGAAAATTAATATCCTTGATTTGGAGTTCATCACTTGTTAGGTTTTGATTTTCAGTATGTGTCACTTTTAATTTAAGCACACATATGGTACCAGTGACACAACGTAGAAGATAAACATCAAAGTCATGTTTCCTTTCATGAAAATTCAAACAAAAAAAGATCTATATTTAGAAAGGGAAAAAAGGGGGAAAGGAACATAGTAAGAATTCTTCCTTAAAATACGCATGGATCAGATCATATGGTCTAGGAATAAGAGCTCCCTTATGAACGATTTTTTAAAAATGTATTAATTAATTAAAAAAGAAATGCTGCAGTACTGCAAGAGGTGAGCGCCCTCTTCTGGACAGGGCAGAAACTGTAACACCGCCCCTATGTGTGAATGGTTCATCAGAGACTTCCAAAGAGAATTGGTTGCCGTAGCAACAGCAGATCGTAATAGTGCAGCCTCTTGAGTGTGACCCTATGTTTAATTGTGTAAGACCTGCTTTCCTCATCCCGAAGAGAGAGAGAGAGAGAGGCGGCATAGAAAGTATATATTTCATTCTGTGCAAACAACCGTGACCCTGATGAATTTCAAATGTCTTTGCAACATGTGTTGTTTATTTTCTGTTGGGTTCATAAATCTTATGGATTCCTTGGAAGTTGGCAGATGCTTGGAGAAAGTGAAATCAAGATAGCTGAAACCCGAAATTTGATTCACTGAGAAAAATCATCAATTGAAACCATCAAAACTTCACCCGTCACTTGGTGTCATACTTTCTGGGTTGTATCTCCTGGTGTTGGACCCTCAGAAGGATTTCTCAACCGGATTCCTGTTTTAAAATTTAGTTTTTAAAATTTACTCATACATTTCAAAGCCTGTCTGGGTTTCACTCCAAACTACGTAGAAGAAATATTCATTTGTTAAAAAAAAAATTCATTTGTTAAAAAAACAAATGGATGGATGGATGGATGGATGGATGGATCGAATATAAGCCAGTTTGTAGTCTTACACCCTCAATCCTTAAGATACATTTGATAATCTTCAAATCACTTCCTAATGTAGAATTTCATAGACTTGGTTTTATATGTCTGTTTCCTTTTTATTCTTTCACTAGATTTTGTTAATTATTGTCATTTTCTGTTCCGCATCTATTATAATTCTTTGGAGTTGTTTTAAATGTAATTTTTTATTTATTTTTTAGCATAAATGTATCTGACTTTTATGCCCACAATGTGAAACTTTCTGTCTGAATTTATCTTTTCAGTAATCTCCTTTTCCGTTTCTGTCAGTGCTTCTCTGAAACTGTTATATGTCATTTTATAGAGCAGGGAGGTTGTGAATTAATTGAGAAAGTGGTTAGCAGAATGGAAGATTAATGAATGACTTGATAAAGAAATAAAGAGATTAGTTAGTCTAGCAGACAAGGCTGATATAATATAGATTTTTGTAGAGAGAAAAAAAAACTACAACAAACAAAAAATTCTGTGGCCCCACACGTCTGTGTGTTTTCCTTGCACACTGAAAATCATCTGCTAGTAGTCAACAACAATGATGCTGAATGTGCATAATTACAGTATCATGAAGCCTTTTCTCAACAACTGAGAATGTGCTGACCCAACTCCTGCTCCTAGAAAACACTTTTTTTAAATTGCTATTTTATTTTAATTACATTTATATGTTAATGTTGCATAATTTACATTAGCCCGAGGCAACACATCTAATTACATTTTTCTTTCCTCCATCTTGTAATGTATTTTAATAGCTACACACAGGAGGTGGTGGACACAATATTATGAACACCTACTGTGCCGTACAATTAGTTTCACTTTTAGGGGGCTCAAGCTTTTCACTTTTTTCCCCAATAATTAATGGGGGATGTGTTTAAATCAAAATATGATACAAGTAGGACCAAATACAGGTGGCATGGTGGTCTGATGGCTAGCACTGTCACCCACACAGCAATTAGGTTCTGGTTTGAATCCAGGTTTGGGCCCTTGTCTGTGAAGTTTGCATCTTCTTCCCCTGTTTGCATGAGCTCCCATAGTCCAAAGACATATTTCGGGTTAGGAGATTCTAAATTGGCTATAGATGTAAAGGGTTAGGGTTGTGAACATGAACTGTCTGTCTCTGTGTGTTAGTCCTGCAACAGACTGGCAATTTGTGCAGCGTCTCTCAGCCTATGAGGGTTTAATAAACGCTCCAGCCCTGTGGCAACCCTTAATTAGATAAGTGGAAGAAATGGACAAATGGGTCCAAATACAAGCAACCTGTTGCTTAGTTATAGCCTCCTCTTCACAACCTAATGTATTTCCATGTTTATACCTTTTAAAAGGCGCCCTTGCTCAGTATTACATATTTTCAAATAATTAGATGTATAAAAATGTAAGCGTTAAGCCTGAGTTATTCTTATTTTACAGAGATTCAATACCATAATTTCATACTAGTTTTTGATTAGCTTTGTTTGTGTTTGTTTTTCTTCTTGATTATGTCATCGAAGCAAGACTTGCCCTTTAATGAAGAGCAATCTGAGATGTGCTGAGAAGAAGGTAAGAGCCACTTCAAATGTCAACATCTGTGGGTAGAAAACTGAGAAGTTAGTGAATCGAATAAGGAGAAAATGCGTTGCGTTGATTACTGGTGGGAAACTGAGTTATTGCAGCTATGACAAAAGCAATGAAATGACAACTTGAACAATCAATAGAAAAGACTTGAATAAGAGCTTTTGTAAGAAATCAGCATGCTGAGGATTTGTGTGAGTTTGGTGGAAATCATGATGTGCCAGTCAGCTTAAAATAACTTCAATATTTGCCCCTTTTTTTCTTTTCTGGTTTGGTTTATTGTTTGTATTTGCAGACCTGACTAATTTATTATTATTATTATTATTATTATTATTATTAATAATAATAATAATAATAATAATAATAATAATAATAATAATAATAATAATAATAATGTATACTTTATTGATCCTAATGGGGAAATTACTCTCTCTACATTTAACCCATTCACTCAGTGAAGCAGTGGGCTAATCAGGCACCCAGGGAGCAGTGTGTACGGATGGTAGGTTGCTCAGGGGTACCGCAGGGTAGCTGTTCAGTGGGGGGCAACCACACTAACTGAGCTATCCCTGCCCCAATTTTTCACACAGAAAACATTTCAACTGACACTAAAGAGTTTTCATTCATGTCTGCTTAACTGGGCTATATTATTCCATGAACTTTGAACTGTTTAAACTGTTTTTTGTTTGGTTTTTTTTTTTGTGGATTTTTTTGTGGTGGTGGTTTCTTGTTTTTTCTTTACACACATCATAAAATACTGTAAATTAACTTGTTTGCTTGTATGAAAGCTGAGATTCATGTCTGTGCTTTTTGTGTTTGTTTGTGAAATTGAGACATTCAACAACAAAGCATTTTTGTTTTATTGTTTGCTGTGGCCCACTCCTTCGCACTGCAGTTACATCAGATTCATCCTCTGTTGTTAAGGACAGGGTTTTGTTGTGTGGTTGGCAAGTTTATGTAACAAATTCAATTTAAAATTCAATTTGGAGTTCCCACAATTAAGTCGCTGCAATAATGAGATTAAACTGATTATTTAGGGACCTGAACAGGTTTGTAAGACTGTGACTCATTGTTTGTTCATTTATAATAATGCAAATGCAGAGCAAGGTGCTTTTTTAGCAACATCGAAAAGCCCAGACCATCCAATGCTGTTTCCTAAATTGGACTTATAAGACATATTTATATGTCTTATCCAAGTTATAACAATGCAGAAAACCCTGATAAGATTCAAACTTTGGTCGACCTTTCCTGGAAAGCAAAGATAAAGATTCAGAAATGTCTTTGTGATCTAACTGAGGGCACAAAAGTGTTCTTTCTGATCGATACGCTATTTGCTTCTATGTTGATTTAGTATGCACTGTTAGAGCCACAGCCTGCTCTGCAGATATGGGGCATTAGATAGTACTAGATGAAGAATAAAAGAAGATTCGTGGAGGACTTTCAAATGTATTTTTTAACCTGTATAAAAAGAGACCCAAGGCCATTACAGTGTATAATTATAGTTTATAATGTATTATTAGAAAATGTGTTTTGACAAGCATCTGAGCAATTAAATACTAAAACTCCCATGTAGGGATAACAAGGTTGAAAATCAACATGATAGTAGACTATCCACCTTAATTAAAATATAATTTTATTATAGGTCAATCCAGTTTTACGCTTAATAATTTATTAACAATTTCTATTATTTAGGTATTTTGCAGCTATTTTCCATTTGAAGTATATTAGGATTTGACAAAAATACATTTGAAGACTTACTTGAATTTTGTGTTTGCCTAAAAACAGCTTTTCTCTATTTTGAGGGCCATTCCTGCGCTGTCCATTACCTGCGGTGCTGAAACTGATGAATTAACCTGGTGTCTCTTTTTCTAATGTGAGCAGCAAACTAATTTGATTACGCTAAATACGATGTTTCCCCAAATAAAAAAGTCATATAAATTAATATCGGCATCAGATAAGTAGACCGGGCCATCTAGTTGGAGCCTCAAGTGCCAGTTCCCTTTACCGGCTCACTCCAGTCAGAGCGTGGTGCTGCGTTTTCCCCCACGCTTCGTTGCCCTAATTCTTCAACCCTTGATAGGTAAATTTCTTACGCTCGCCAAGCTATTAATGGTTAAACTACGTCGTGGGCGTAGCGGCTCCTTGTAATGGCGACCGTGCCGTAGATGTTCCCAGGTTTGTGAAAATGAAGCGAAGAAGAAGTTATTTCTTTTAAGTAAAACGCCGAGGTTCCCCGTAGGAGGACTTTGCGTCTACAACCATCGTCTTTATAAGTGGCAAATATAGCTGTACTTTTGAACTTTTACGCTCCCGAAATGATGAAGCTCAAGTCAAACCAAACCCGGACGTACGACGGGGATGGCTACAAGAAGCGGGCCGCTTGCCTGTGCTTCAGGAGCGAGAGCGAGGAGGAGGTGAGTTCGGTGATGTGAACTGTCTGGAGGGCCAAGCTAATATTAGCATCCGTAGGTTTTATCCAGCCTTTTCTGTTGTGTGTAGATCGAGACGTTTATCAACACGGCTTTGGTTTTATCCCAACTGGAAAATGATTTATTTTATTCTCGTGTCGACTCCCGACGTTTTGATTAGTCACTATTTTTTAGCTGGTACTTACTCGAGTGTTATGTAAGCCTCTTTAGCAGTGCAGATAGCAGCCTCCGTTATGACCAGACTTACTAGCTCCGCGCTAATGCTAACGTTAGCTTGCTAACTACCCGGGTTGCTGCCGTGGGCAGCCGGCTATCGGCCAGCAACCACAGCCCACAGTACAGGCTGTGGTGAGTGCTGACTCTATCACTACCAGCTGTCGGATGGACAGAGAATATTTAGTATTTAAAGCGACAGCTAAGATATGTATCTGCTCGCGTTACAGATAGTTTGGCGAGCTAAGTGTATTGTGTTAATGCAACTGGTATTACTAGCCAAACATTGTACTGCTATGTAGCTAGTAGCTATCCTAGTTTAAGCCAGAAGATGACTCTGGCAGTGATAGCCGGCTTGTATCACTTGTGTATTTTGATTAGTTTGTTTGCGAAATTGACACTGTTGATATTTGGAGCACCAGCTTAATGGAAGCGTCGAGCCCTGTGTGCATATTTTACAACATTATTAATGCTATTTGTGTATTTATCGCTCCTATCTAGCCGTATCAGAAAAAGCGAAAACGTGTTGTGGATTACTTGAGCTCAGTCGCGATTTGGGACGCTCACGTACAGTCAAAAGGAGACACAAAGATGTCTTTGTACTTACATTTTTCTAGGGGAGGAGATGGGACCAAACCAATTCCTCATTTTGGTTAAAGTAAAGGCCAGACTGTGTAGACAGGGGTTGTTGATTACAGGAAACGTATCAGCATTACCAGCACCAAAGTGGAAACTTTTACCTAAGACTGTAGATTATTTGACTGGCAGCCAGGGGTTCCACAGCTCATCTCCACTAAGAACCCAACATCTAAACTAGTTCACTAGCTATGATTTATTGACAGTAATAAAAGTACTAGTTTTCTTAAACCCAATGAGTTATCATTTCCATTTTTCTTGAGTTGTATTTTTCGATGTCCCAGTTGATATTATGTGAACAGTAACTCAGAGTTGGACTGTCATACCTGACCAGTATTGTATGGGGTGTTTTGCAGGTGCTACTGGTGAGCAGTAGTCGACATCCTGACAAGTGGATAGTTCCTGGAGGGGGAATGGAGCCCGAAGAGGAGCCCAATGTTGCAGCAGCTCGAGAAGTGTGTGAAGAGGTTGGTTGTGTCACTCAATATTGTTATATCTTATTTAAGCCTGTAGTATGATGGCCTTTTCTCTTTGGTTTTCCAAGTGACAGATGTTGTCTCTATGTATACTGCGTACTGGGAACCTTAACGTGATCCTTTTCAGAAATGTCAGTAGCTGGAAATATAATTCTCAGAAAGTGTGGCAAATTTGTTTGAGTATAGACTCATAAGATGTATTGTATTACAGTTCTGTTAACTTGTCTGTATTTAACACTGAGCCTGATACCTTGTTCTCAAAATCCATTTTGTCAATGCAGTCATCCTGTTTGCATGGACAGTAAGAGAGAGAGCCTAGCAACATGTAAGCTGTATCATAGCATCATGTTACAAAGCAGTCTTTAGGTGTCAAAGGAGGTCACACAGAGATTGAACACTGGCTGCACAGCAGTTTGACTGCAGTACAGTCAAGTCACACAAACGCAAAAAATGACAACAATTGAGTTTTATTGTTTGTAAGTTTCTCGTAGCTATATATATTAGTATACAGTAGTGGTCACATTACAAGGGCAGCTTGGAGGACACAACATGTTGTTTTTGTTGTTCTGTATTGGGGTGGATGGGTAGTAATTAGTAAACAGTTCTGAAGCTAATTGGAAATCAATATCCTACTTATACTGCCTACGCCTGTTTGTTAAATCAGGTATTCTTCCACTCTGCATGCTGTTCATCCTTTGGATATTTTGATCAGAATGGACACAGGGCACATAAGACACTGAATCTCACCCGGCGGTTGGCTCCTAGTGGGCCGCTGACCTTATAAAGCCTATCCTCTCTGTGTGATCCGTCACACTGATGGATGCTGATATCATCCCTTATCCTGGCTCCTGCTGATTGGTAGCTTTGGTGGTTGCAGGACACTTAGGCCTGCCAGCAAATTTCCACAGGGTCAAAAGCAATGTCACATCACTTCTCAGGCTCCTTATGTGCTAAAAGGCTACATTCAGAAACTCTGTGGTGACTGAGTGCTGCTTGATACATCACCAACTACACTGGCTTTCTAAGCCTTTTATTGGATGATGGTGTAATAGGACATATCCTAATCCTGGTGAGCCTGTTCTGATCACCGTATAAGTGATAAGTGATTGCTTATGCTTATTGGTTTGGAGTCTCTCCAGGGATGAGAGTGAAGACAAGGCATGCAGTAGCAAGCCAAAATTTACAGAGGGTTTCTTTGTTAGACTGTTCACTATCTCTGTTAATCCTTGTATCTTGGAGATGCACCCCGACCCTGCAACCTGAAGACGCATTGCATAACTGGTAACGAAGTCTCAGCTGTACATCCTCTTCCCAAGTGTTGCCCAGTAGTCTTGTGTTACATGAATGCCAGAGCTGGGAGACTTTTTCCATCTCATAAAAACAAACAGGTTGACTTTTGGCCTATTACTTAATCCCTGGCTCGTCTTTGGAGTTTCTAGTGGTGTGCCTGCTCTTTACCATATGATCAAGCTGAAGGCCTTAGGAGTGCAATTGGTACAGTGTGTGGAGTCAACATTTATTTATAGAGTGAAACTGGAAACTGAGGAAGAAGCTGCAGAGATGTCAGTGAGAGGCCTGGTGCTGTATCAAAACCTGACCTACTGTTAACCTCTGGGAGTTAAAATCTTGGAGATGATTTTTGGTGTTAAAATTTTCTCAACAATATTAAGCTCTCAGAGACCTTAAAGTTTCTCTATGACAGAAAGGTTGTGACATTTATATGGCTCTGATTTTAGGATTGTGAGAAAAGGTATAATAACTTGCAAAGTTTTTATTCATCTGCTTTTTTCCCTGACCTTTTACATGACAAAACTAAAAACGATTTTGAGAGAGAGGCTGTCAAAAAGTGCCAAAAGTTGAGAGAGGGTTATTTTTCAGATGTATAATAAGTCAATTTTAAAAATCAGTTGATCAGTAAATCAGGAACCTTTTCCCCCACTAATCTGGCACTTTCCAAGAAAACTGTGGCTTCAGCCTCTGAAAAATGTTTTTCTGTTTTTGTTGAATATTATGTTTTATGTAGTTTAGTTTTTTTGACTAGTAGTTGGACATCTGAGACTGGGCTCTGACAGATTGTGAATTTGTTTTTCCTCACTATATTATTGTTTTGTTTTTGTTTATTTTGTCAGTTGCTTGATTAATGTTAAACATTTTGTCAGAAGAAATCAATGACAATTATCAATGCGTTTAATAGTAATTTCATTGCTGTAGAAGTAATTTATGTCCAGTCATTATGAGGGGGGAACCTGACATTGACCTACTTTGTGAATTGATCCCTTTTTTAGGGATGTTAGCTTTTTCAGCTAGGAGAGTGTTTTCCAAGTGGTGCACCAATTCTTTTTGTTTTTGTTTGTGAGGATCATAAATTTTTGCAGTTTAGAACTACAAAAAAACCAAAAAAAAAACGAGAGCCAAATCCCTGGCAATTTGCATATATGGGAGCCTAATAGGGGAAAATATAGTGCTTTGTTTTGTGGGAAAACAAAGTTTACAGTTAAGGGGAGATGCGTGAAAAATACCTGTCATATGACTTCTGCTGGACCAGCAATGTCAACGACTGTTAGCCCAAGTGTGTTATCTGTTGGGCGAAGTTGGGTAATGATAACATGGTATCTAAAGAGAAACTTGGAAACCAATCCCTTCTAGGAAAAAATAAAACAAACTGGTTTTGAAGTTGAGGCAGCAAAAACCTTGTTTTTGTTTTGCTTTGTTTTTTCTCTACTTTTTTTCTTTTTTTGGCTTGTGTTAAAGCTAAAGGAGGCAAGATATATGCTAGTGGCTCCTGACACTGTTGGACAGCTGTCAAAAGCGTGCTTTTCAGTGTAATCAAAAGAAGAACAACATGTCATATGACATACAGTCATATGAAAAGAGTTTTCATCGGACTAAGCAGTCCTGCGATAAACTGAAGTATGCTCAGCAATAAGTACACAGCAGCAAGTAATCATTTTCTGTTTGACTTTGTCAGTTTCACATTATTGTCGAGGAATTTGGTCCCACTCTTCTTTACAAAGTTTTTTCACCTCATTGAGGTTTGCGGGTATTTTCTATGCACAGATCTCTTATGATTCTGTCACGTTGAGGTCCCGACTTCGACTGTTCCATTGCAACACCTTGAGTCCTTTCTTTGTAAATTTGTTGTAGATCTGCTGGTATTCTTTGGATCATTGTCCTGTTGCATGACCCAATTTTGGCCAAGTTTTAGGCATTGTTAGTAGGGCTGCCACAAACGATTATTTTGATAGTCGACTAGTCACCGATTATTTTTGCGATTAGTCGACTAATCAGATCATCATCCATTGGACGTACAGCGTACAGCTTATTGCACCAGCAGCATCTGGTCTTATATAACTATCATTAGCTTACAGCTTGAAGTGTTTGTGCTAACTAAAAATAAAGACAAGATGGTAGTTTATTAATTTTTAATGAAATTTGCAGATTGTTTCGGTGAAGTTTAATAAACTCCTTGCTTTCTAAAATATAACAGGACACCGGAGTATATTCTCCAGCGTCTCACACTTCTGATAATCAGCTGTCTGCTTGACAGTTTTAGCTGTGCAAAAAACTATAACTTTAATCTCAGCCAAACCGATTTACTCAGGAACAAATAAAATACTAAAGAAAGCCAAACAATAACATTTTTAAGTTATCTAAGTGACTTATATATATGTTTAACCTGACTAGCGAAAGACGGCGGTGGGTTTGAAAACGATTTGCCGGGAGTCCGGTGTTCTCACGGCTCTAGTTAGCCTTGCCCCCGGCTAGCTAACGAGCTAGTGGGTAACAGACGTCTCCGAAAACGTCAGAGCGCTTTTGAAAATATGTGGTGTCTTGATAAACTGAGCAGATATTTGAGGTTTACACAGCTACATTCTCGCCTGAAAATATGTTAAACGTTTATTTTGTGACCCAGAAAGAATAATAAGAGTAAAGTTAAAACTAACTAGCTGCCGCCATTGTTGACAGCTGCGCTATGAATTCTGGGACACAGCTTCTTCTTCTTTGGGGTTTAACGGCAGCTGGCATCCTTGTACATGCAGTGCTGCCATCTTCTGTTTCAGTCCGTTATTACACTCTTAAATCCTACTACTCATTCCTGCGTCCTTTGTGATCTTACAAAGCTTCAAACGATGCGTCGACTATTAAATTAGTCGTCGACGATTTTAATAGTCGACATAATCGTGACTAGTCGACTAATCGTGGCAGCCCTAATTGTTAGTGGTATCAGAGGTTTGTGCTGATATCTTGTGTTTGGGTTTTATCCAAATGTGGCGTTTTGTATTATGGTAATAAAAATCTTCACTTTGGTCTCATCTGTTGAAAGGACATTGTTCCACAAGTGTGTGGTTTGTTCATATGCAACTTTGTTAACCTAAACCCAAGTTGTGTTGCCATGTTCTTTTTACAGAGATTAATCTTTCTCCTGGCAACCCTTCCAAACAACCCATACTTGTTCAAACTTCTTCACACTTGCATACCCACTTAATTAGTAGCACCTGGCTTCTGCTTACCCTCTTAATTCCTTTGGAGGCAGTAAGGGTGTACTTCGGTTTTCACAAGACTCACATGACTGTATTTTGTAGGAATGTGCACAATCAGTTGACTGGACAGTTGAACATTGCTGCCCTGGCTTGTCAGCAGTGAAAATTTCTGTCAGTGAGGCTAATATGTCTTTAATGTGCAACACTCAGCCGAAGCAAAAGACAACGTGCAACACTAGTGCCAGTGGACACTAAAGGGCAAATGTGGACTCCCAAGTTTGTGAATGAGATAACTTGAGAACAAAGCAATGTAGGATATTCAAATTGATGCCATAGGTATGTGCTAAAAATCTTGGCTGAGATTGAATATGTTACCTTGATCTCAAGGGCAAGGTCATGGCTCAAATTTTCAGAAAATCTTGTAAATGCCATAACTCGAAGGAAGTCAAATTTTCAAATGGATACGATAAGTGTATCTACTAAAAATCTCTCTTGCCTATTAAGTTAGTGTACAAGAACATCCCCAATTGTTTTTGTTTTACAGCCCTAAATAATGTGCCTCGTTGCAGGAAAGTGCATGCAGGACAAGACTTCAGTCTTTGTATATGCTGTATATTGTTTTTATTTTGTGGACGCAAAAACCACAATCCAGGATTTAGATGGAGTGAATGTGTGGGGATAAACACAATCTTATGATGTAATATAATCCAGTGCACAACAAACACCATTTCCAATTACCGTACAAATTAAATCAGCTCTATTTGAAACTATTTCAACTAAACACTATGAGGTTCAAATGGGTGTTTATTGTTAGGCTGTTGGAGTGCATTCAATTATACAAGTGTTTTTGCATAGACCTCAATCTCTTCATATTGAACGAAAAGCCTTTAATCGTCTGTTGTGACTTCATCCTGTGACAGTATTTACTGAGCATTTCATCATTTTTCATTCATTTTACAGGCTGGTGTGAAGGGGACTTTAGGTCGCTTGGTGGGAATATTTGAGGTGAGCTGCTGTGTGTTGACTTTTTTGGGGGGGTGTCTTTAAGTGTCACCTTACTGTTTGGTTAATTATGCAAATGTTTTCTTCCACAGAACCAGGAGAGAAAACACAGGACCTATGTGTATGTTCTTATTGTAACGGAGGTGCTGGAGGACTGGGAGGACTCAGTCAACATTGGTAAAGCACTGTTTGTTTACTTGTCAGAATGGGGATCATACGGACAAAGTTCTCAGGCAGTCACATGCTTGACTGTAGCTTTTTTTTTTTTTTTTTTTTTTTTTGCCTGGCCTTAGTGATATTACAGTTTTTAGTGTGTGTTTACTGGGGAAGATTATAAAACCAGCTTTGTTCCTGCCCTTGTGATTTTCACTTTAGCTGTGTGTACAGTACTAATAATCAGTCAAAACCCATTTTTCATAATGACTTTTTTTTTTCCCTGTGTGTTGTTTTTTTTTCTTGCATGTTAACCTTCTCCACAATGCTTTCTTTTTCTGCAAAACAGGGAGAAAAAGGGAATGGTTTAAAATAGACGATGCCATACAAGTGTTGCAGTGTCACAAGCCTGTGCAGGCCACCTACTTTGAGGCTCTCCAGGAGAGTTGTCTGACCAGTAATGGAACTCCACTGGTGACCACGATAGGTGGGGACCTCTCCCCTACCTACAGCATCAATCAGAGCTCTGTTTCTGGGATCAGATAACTAAAACCACAACTCTGAATACCCCAGGAGCTTTCGCCACCACCTGCGCTCTTACTTGTGTTATTTCTCTTCTCTTCTCTTCTCTTCTCTTCTCTTCTCTTCTCTTCTCTTCTCTTCTCTTCTCTTCTCTTCTCTTCTCTTCTCTTCTCTTCTCTTCTCTTCTCTTCTCTTCTCTTCTCTTCTCTTCTCTTTCTTTTGTCTCAGTAACATGGTTTGCCTTGCCAACTCCTTTGTGCCAGAAATCTGGTGCAGACTCAACAAGTGTTGGATGAATAGTCCAAAACACTTTGTAAATGTAAATGTAATTTTTGACCCCTCTTCTTTTTTGTTTTTGTTTTTACTGACAACTGCATGAAGTGTCCCCTCATTCCCTTTTCCTTAACACACCCTTAGCGTGGTGTTTATTGAATGCAAGAACTACTTTTTACTGTTGTAATGTAAAAGTGTATACTTAGTGCTTAAGCTGAAGGCTTTTGGTGGTCTTTTTAATGTCTCCATCTTTTTTTTTTTTTTGTTTGTTTATTTTTCTGTGAATGAATGTGCCCATAATAAGTGTACTCCCTCCCCTGTTTTAAGGATAGGAAAAATTGTATCTGAACGAAAAGAATTGTGGGAAGTGACTTGTCTTGCATGAGCGCTATTGTTGTTGCGTTTCACTCACTCGAGTGACCTGATGCTGACTGTGTGACAGACAGGGTAAGGTCTTTTGGCTTTTCTTCACTCTTCTCCTGTTGTAGTTGTTCTTGTTATGTTTTTTTGTGGTTTTGTTTTGTTGTGTTTTTTTTAAACCTGAAGGATACGGCCCCTTAATTTCAATATTCTTTCCATTTCTGTTTTCAGCTGTGTTTCTTTCCTATTTGGGAAGCTAGCCAAGCACTACAGGTTTCAATTTCAGAGCATGCATATATGTATATGCGCTGCACAGTGACTGAAAGAATGTCAGCAGACAATGTAAAAACCATCTTTGTCCTCACTCTTCTCTTTTTGATCCCTTTTTGTTTTCTTTGTTAAAACGCTTTCATGTGACTGACTACAGAGTCTTCCTCCAAACACTGAGAGGGTGGAAATAGTAGATTTCAGAATCATGGACTTGTGTAATTTCAAAGTGCAGCACATATCACTTAAGTTATTAAAACAATTTCCATATTTTACTCCTCACATTCAGATTGGTTAAAAGCAATTGTTTACATTGTGTTTGTAACATAGTACAGATGAATTTAGCGGGCACTTTTCATTATGGTCATGACTCTCTTTTTTTTTTTTTTTTAAAAAACCTTCCCTCCTTAGTATTTATTCTGCATCCCCCAAAATACTCAAAACACCTGCTTGACATTAAACTGATGTCAAACTGATTTTGGCAAGATGCAGAACAAACAAGCCTTGTACAGTTTGAGACCTTGTTTTTAACATGTAAAATGCTTTTTGGATACTATTTTTTTTTTTTTTTTTTTTTTTTTTTGTTTGTTTGTTTTTGGGTTTTTTTTTTCCTCCTCTCTAACGTTTGGCAAAAGTCTCTTTAGCTCAGCTGCATCACTTGGCTGCGATGTGGCGTGAAGCAGCTGGCTCAATACTGTGAAACTGGAGGCGCTGTAGATAGCATGTAAGAGGTTTTTATTGTAAATTGTTTATTTCTGTATAGATCAAAGATGAGAATACAAATGACAAAACACCTCTTACACATCTGTGAGTGCTACATGTCATTTCAATTGAGGCTGGAAAACCTGATTGAACTCACTGCGTTGGCTTTAAAGCTGTGAGGAATTTTCTCTTGAGATAGCATTCAGTACATCAGAGACTAAAGAACAAGGAATGTGGCTGTGGGTGAGATTAAAGAGCCTATTTATAATAGAAAATTGTAACAACCTTAATGTTTTTGTTTTAGACCAAAATTAATTGGTAATGGCAAGGATTTTTTTTTCTTTTTTTTTTTTTTTTCTTTTTTTTTTTTGTTTATCATCTTTAGTCAAACTATGAAATGAAGTATAACTGCATTCTGAGCTGGAAAGCCTGGAGTCTTTTCCTCCTCTGTACCACTAGGTTTAATCAGTGAATTTTCCCCTAGAGGGTTTCTTTCATTGATCTCCCCACTTTGGTGTTCTGCCTTTTTTTCCCCACATTGATAAATTTGGAAAAATTTGCATAAGCAGATCTGATACATTTCACCTTCCAAGTTTATAGGACACAAAATTTGCACATCCAACAAACATTTGCATTTGTTTGGAGTTGTCTTTTTCTAACTGGTGAATTTCATTCGGTTCTGTTTTTCCTTTTATTCATCTTTTGTTTGCTCTCCCTTATCTCTTTCTGACTAGTTTATAACCCCGCCACTACTTTCACCAGATGGCTGTTTACTCTGTTTTTGCTAAGCAGTTGCAGCTGAAAACTATGCTACAACTGTATAAATGCAGGCAATGTGGGACTGCAGGCTGGAAAACCACAAGAAGGAGCTAAAAGATGCTGAATAATAGTGTAAAGTTGAGTTTAAGTACATAGGCAAAAGGTCTTTGATTCTTGCATAAGAGAAACACAGTTTACATTAAAAAAAATCATGTTAACAAAAAACTGATTATAGCCACATTAAAAAAGTATTTGATGCCCATAGATTTAAAAAGATTTCATTAGGGTTTGTTGGGAGACTTGGCAGTACTTATGTATTTAACAATGAATATGCACAGAAAACTCCAGTCTTATGATTCACAATCTGATGAGAAACCCTTTGATAGGAAATGAGAACTGAAAGCAAGCGGAGCAAAGTTTATCTAGACAAAGAGCAGAGTGGCTTTTAGTGGTGGACTGAGTCTTTTCTTCCATGTTTATGATTATGGTGGAAATCACCACATGCTAGCACAGCTGCTAACACTGCCCTGCAATAATCCAGGAATTCAGATCTCTTCTGAATGACAGTTAAGGTGAAAAGGGTCTAAAGTCTCCTCCAGCCTGAGACTTTGGACTGTTTTTACTGCTGTTTTAGAAAGGTGTGGTGGTCAAAGTCTTGCTTTATGATGCTCTACCTGGCACTTGAAATGAGATTTTGTGTTGATTAGACTTTTTAGTCATCATCTAAAGGTACAATTAAATAGAAACGGGATGAAACTACATATGGCAGAAAACAAAAGCCTAATAAACTATGGCTCTCTAGTTTGATGTGGGTGACAGGTACTGTCAAAATGAATGTGAGGAGGATTTAAACAGTAAAGTAAACAGCCAGTCATTTTTAATTATTAATAACCACTTATTCCTTATCCTGTGTTTTGTTTTGTCTTCTCTTGTTACTGACAACCTGATGTCTTGTATATAGGTAACACAGCAATCTGATAGCCAGAGAATGCACTTTGGCTTTGGTCCTAAAGGATTATTGTAATTCTTTTTTTCTTTTTTAACCCTTCTTACTAAAATTCAAACAGTTTCTGTCACAAATTGACTGATTTAGGTTGGAGTGCTAGCGGGAAATTTGGAAGTAAAGGTTTTCACTTGAATTCCACATTAGACTGATGGTATCATTAGATGGTACAAACACATTCACCCTTTCTTGGACTTCTTGGCTATAAAATTGCCTCTTTAAAATAATGACGCTTCCTAACTTGAAACCACTGGAGCTTCAGATAAAGTCACTTCATTTAATTTACCAAAGTGGACGGTTTATTAATGTGTTGCCATGTCAGTTAGTTGGGCCCCATCTTGTGGCCAAAGCAAAAGAATAAAACAAAGCACATCACTTAGCAGCTGAGGATTTGTAACATTCAGTTTTCCTTTAGCACAATGATGACTGTTTCACCTGCTAAACGACTGGAAAAATGTTAATTAAAAAAAAAAAAAAAAAAGACAGCTGCCATCTCTGAAAAACAACCAAACAAACTCTGAATTTGATAACTTCACTTTTGAACCGTTGACCTCAGCCTTGAAGTTGCATATCTGTATTTGTGTTCAAGGTCTGTGTCACTGGAATTTTTATTTTTTTTCCTCTTTTGTCATTTGGGACTGTGGAATAAGACCAGTGTGAGAAGACTGAAGATTGTAATATAAATGTGCCAACAAATAAACACCAGTATTTCACATTCAGGCTGGTGTGTGTGTGTTCAATACGTCTCCAAGTGTGCTCTTTCTAGAGTATGTAGGTATTTACAACAACTGAAATATTGTAACTCTGTAGCCAACTCACCCATCAGTTTGTTTTAACTCTTGAGGTTCATGTGTAAAAAGAGTTGGGTCTACTTTCAGGATGTCAGCAGCAGGACATCTCAAGACTGTCAAGACACTTTCTTTCATTAGATAAATCTGCTTATAAGCAGATTTGTCAAGTCAAATTTGTGTTGAAACATCGTAGAAATGTCAGATAAAATTAAAAGATAAGCTGGTTAACATTTTGAGAGTCTTCAGTAGCAGCTACAACCTAATTGGGTTTCTCATGGTCAAGTATAGTTCCTGACATATTCAGTAGTATCAGGGTAGATTGACATCCTTTCCAGGGTTGGTAGTACTTTTTGTCAACATAGGAAAATCAATCCATTCATTTTCTTCCACTTATCCAATTTAGGGTCGCACTACACCCTGGATAGGGTACCAGTCCATCACGCACAAGAGCCCAGATCCATCTTTGCTTTCAGGAAAACTATGAGAGTCAATGTTAAAAACTTTAAAAAGAAATTTTCCTCTGTGTAAAAAGGTTATGTTGGGTTAATTATAACTTTGGCAAAAAGGCCCAATTTAGTATGCAGGTGAGTCATTGAGTCCTAGATCATTTCAACTTGACGCTACCATAACCACCTAATGTTTTCTGTGTGGACTAACAGTGAGGGAGATAACTGTAAAAATGACCCTCCACACAATTTACCCACCAGACTAACTTCCTGCCAAAAACAAAGGCATTTGTTTTTCATTTGACACCATCTCAGTCTCACTGTGGCACCTCTCTTGACACACTCATTAATTATCAAAGTATTTTAATACTCAATTAATCCTGAGCTGGTCCACCATCACATTGCTCAAATTTATAACCAACGTATGTGGACTTTCGCCTGCTCATCTTACAAAATACTTTAAGAAGAAAAGCACAAACAGACCGAGTTGTATTTGGATTTTCTTTATTGTACACAAAGAGAGAGTGAAATTTACTGAGGCTGCTGTCCTCTGCCGCGTCCAAAGCCACCTCTCTGCAACAGAAAAATGTTGTCAGTCGACCAACATGTTCAATACAAGAATCTACAAGTTTTCCAGCTGCACTGTATAAACCACATTTAGCTTTCTGACATTCCTTTTTAAAACCCATGTAAAACCGCACCCACAAATTTAGGGAGGAGAGCCTTTGTTGTTCTGCTGTAGAAAACAATTCTTATAACAGAAAAACATTCAAGATCAAGACAAGGTTTTTGTTGCCAGCCCATTTCTCAAAATACCCGCATGAAACAAAGGAAATGTACTTACAAACTGGAACTCTGTGGCAGCTCCAGCACCGGCCTCTGCCTTCTTGTCAGCACCAGCTAAAGGAGAAGTTATGAGTTAAGAGGTCAGCCAGTAACTTTCAGAAATGTCAAACTTGTTAAAACTTCACCATAACATGTCAAATATATACCAAAATTAGACAGGGGGGGTGGGGCAGTAATAATAATTTTTACTGTTGTTTTTCTTTGATAAACAAGTTTAAAGTTCACACCAGCAAATTGCCTTCTGAACATCAGAATGATGTGATGGGAGCTTCATATGCCTCATTTTTAAAATCCAAATCCTCCACATACATCGATTTTTGTCTTTGTCATACAAGCTCAATCCTTTCAATAATATATATTTGATAACATGTTTCATCTGAATCATTGTGATCAGTTTTCTAAAGGAAACATGATTTAGATTCTCACCTAAGAACATATTTAACATGTCATTTGCTTTTGTTTTGGCACAAGCACTACTGGTTTGG